GGCAAAGTTTCTCTTTTGTTCATCTCTAGTTTGAGACGCGATCCTGCTTCCTTTGCACTGCAAGCGCTTAAATACCATGGAGCCGTGGTCTGCCTAAATAGTTTCTGTATTCATCTAGAAGCAAGGGGGCGGTACAGTAGTGCTGCTGGTGTAAAGTGAGAAATAGATTTTTCTTTCTTCACACTTTGCATTTTCGCCGTTTCACCCCGGTATTATTATTAACAATGTAAACCTCTTTTAGGTTTCTACTTTCTTACACTATTAATGCTGTATTTTGTTATGTTAAATACTGCATTAATAATTTCATACAGAAGTCTAGTTTGTTCATGCATCCTGTCAATGAAACTAACATTTATAACCATAATACACTATTATATGCATGTACTGTAAACACCTAAGCAATGAGGTGTAAATTAGCTGGTGGAGTAGGTTAAATCTGAATTGTGTAAAATTCTTGTTATGTAATAGTTTGCGGAACGTCACTTATACGTACGTTGAGGTCTGCTTGTATAGTGTTATGGTGTATATGTGCAAATGTTGATAACCAGTAAAGAAGATTGCTATGAATTGGCTTGAATGTACATTTGAATTACTTAAAATCATCATTCGCATGATTGGTGTCCTTGCTGAGCTAAACGTGTTTAGGAGAACCCTTCTGACATAGTTAAGAAACATCAACATTCATTCGACTCTTCAAGTAGACATGCTAAACTCGAAGTACGCGGGGAACCCAGGCCATTCAAAAATATTTACTGCATGTTTTCGGCGGCAAGTAACGCGATGAATCAAAGATACATGCTCGAAAGCAAAAGTGAGTAGAACAAAAGGCGGCCAAAGACGTAGCCTCGATTCCCTTGAGTTTAAAACGACCAAATGTACTATGATTAAGCGATCCGTCACGAATGGGCAATTTTTCAGTGCTCATAACCTTACTTCAACGAATGGTCGATAATGCGTTTGAGTGATCGGCGCCGCAGTGATGACTGACGTGGCGAAGGCGACAAGGACCAAGGTGAACAACAACGGATCCCGAGACATCGAACGGTGTTCCACCTGCAGTGGGGAAGGCAAAGCCGTCGGCAGCCGGCAGTATGTAGTTATGGAATGCAGGCAGTTCTACCGAATCCTCAGTGGCTGGCTGGTTATGCTGCTGTTCCGTCGGTGCGTGTTGATGGAATCGGGGTAAGTAAGCCGTCTCTAATTTGGGTGTCCGGCTGGAAGTCGGCCACTAGGGCATCTAATGGGGGTACGCCGTAAAACGGCGGCCGGCCGAACGACAGAGTTTTTGAACGCTCTCATGCGCTGTGTGCCGGTTATTCAGAGGGGCAAGAAAGATAGACTTCTATTCAAAGAACGGCTGGTTTTCGGTTTTCAGGCAAAGAGACCACGGATGTTCGACAAAGCTGCTTTTCGAACGTTGATGCGGCCTGATTAAAATTAAAACATTCCATCGTCAACGATGCACCATTTTTTCCTCCTTCTGTTGCTCATCGTACGTCACTTTTTGTGTCATATCACTTTTGGCATGGTGGCACAGTGCCTAAGGGGTCGACTTTGAACTTTGCCAGGTTTGATTCCGGTGGATGACAATCTTCGTGTTAACCACGAATTCCAATTATCAAACAATTTACCACACGTAGCTTCAGATCGGGGCGTTCATTCGGTTGAACGTCGGATTCAGAACCTATAGGTTAAAAGTTCGAGCCTAGCCGTGGTCATATCACTCGCCTTTCTTCCTTTTCAGGTTGATAAATGAATACCACTCTTTTGGAAGCAAACAAAAGACTGTATTATATGCTTGTCACATGGCTATTGTCGATTTTACCTTTAAAAATATTGCATTCTGGACTCATAACATTGAAATCGCGTTTAGTTTCTCACATTTAACTTCTTGATGAGGTAGACGCCAGAATTGTTTCGTTATATATGTATATATGTATCGTTCAAACGGTCATAAAGTTCCATTTTCTTCCTTTGTTGTCAGGCAGTAATATGCGCTTAAGAAACAACTAGCCCTAAGCTTGTACATGAGCGCTGATCCCTCGGCTAATTGAGAGGATTACAGCATCAGTGTTTCATGCCCTTCATCAACTCAGCATTTCAGTAATAATTGTCATCCATCATTCTGATGGACGATGACAATAATGTAAAGTTTCGGTAACGTTGTCCTGGTCTTTACTATCACATTAGATCAAACAGCGTTATCTTCTTCGCATTTTTAGATTTTCTCTGTCACGTACTACTGATATATGAATCTCATATAGTTATCAATATATGACTCACTGTTTTGCCCAAGAATTTTCATCACCTTTTTAGAGGATGAACGGCAATATGTGAAGATTTCACAATGTTTTTTCAGCAAACGACAATGGCCCATGCCCTTAGAATTGAACATCTCTTGAAGCGTTACTTCCTAATTGTGAGGGCTTACATATTTCATTCATCGATAAAGAACTGCTTGCTAGAACATGTTTGCTGCAACTTGTTTCTAGCACGGTTTCCAATGTCAGAATGGCTGACATCAGACAGAGGGCATATCATATTAGATTTTGGTATGATTAGGTCCATGACGTTCGATTCCCAGGCAAAAGGGATTGTTCAAAACTCCATTTACAGTTTCCCTTTTTATTTGTTGACAGCCAATCAGAATACGCTCCTGTCCAATTGCGGCAGCTCAAGTGAGAGAGTCTCGAGAAAGACATGAGTCTAAAGCAGGCCTGTCATGTAAGTGGAACATAGGTTATGGCTCATAAAAAAGTTAATGTATTGAATCCAGTCAGTTGAGTTTTTCCGTTTGGCATACGACTCGAACCATCAGAAAAGTGCGTCAAATGTGCAGTTCCCTCAATCAGAAAGGATAGCTGACCATGAAAGTGAATAAACAATTCGAAGGTTCGAAATGTAGCACTACAAACACTATTAAACAGCAGAATGAAATAACCACTTTCTGGACGAGGTCTTCCTCATCGTAATTTATCAGCAAAATCAGAGTCACACGGATCAGTAATCTTTGCTCGTCTGCAAACTCGAGCAATCTATGCAACGGTACGATCAATGCTCTTAACATTTCTATGACATGGGGCCTAATTAATTGCCTCGTTCAAATTTCTGACATGCGTCGCAGTCTCATGGCTGCTTTTTGTTACACATTGTGTTGATTGTCACACAGAACCTAGCAGTCAGTTATTAGGTAGGCCAAGACGAAATGAAGTCACAAGAGGCACACGACTACAGTGGAATGCCAAGCTGTCCTTTGTGCTCGTAAGCCAGCGACTAGCTACCCGCTTCTCGGCTGATTGCAACGAAGCTGAGTGGAATAAATCCATTGCTATAAGGAATTAGCGGCTAAGGTAAATTTTGACCTAGCTCAGGACTCGAACTCAATAACTCCGAAGTTCGAGGTCACTCTCTCTATGACTGTGCGATGTTACAACTGCAGCTTGCAACTGTATTCTTGACGAGGGTGCGCCGGTTTCTACATCTCATTATTATAGGCAAGTCCGTGGGCTCACTTCGGAAGGAGAACATAAGTTTTTTCTGGAAGAAATAGAAGGTACTCTGTACGAAGTGTCGATTATTGAATAGGTGATTCTGCAATTCCAACGGCAAGTCAGAGCAGACGGGTGAAAATTAGAAAGACGTGACTGTAAGGAACGACCCCAGCAGTTTCAACATTAACGGTATGAGCTTGTTACAGTTTTGTGTAAACAGCGAACATTCTGTTATAAACAACTTCTTTGTGAATAGGTAAAATTGATATAGCAAGCCTATTCGCCACAGTTTATGACTGATTTGTTAATCATACTATCATAACTTGTGACGATGCTCTGTGATGAATGTTTGCTTTAAAGGAAACGCAGAGCTATCAATCGATCATCATCTTATTGTTGTCACTTTCCGCTACCAATGATGGAGTACCATGCTAAGACCTGGCGGAAGAGGCAACAAGAGAATTTAATGGGGAATATTATCTTCTGCATATATGAGGGCAAACTTGCAAACATAGCATGACAGTCTCAATGGTCCAGGTGATAACGACTGGCGTTAAAGCTGAGTGAAAGCTCTTGAAAACCGGCCTATTTAGAGCTATCGCCTATTTGAAAGGGTGTGCAAGCAAAACGCCTTGGTGGACACCAAATGTTCAACTGACTGTTAGCGAGATGAAGGCTGCATTCAACAGATGGTGTGGAATCAAAGAAATTTCAGCTC